TAATAAATATTATACTAATTAGATACACACACACACATATAGAAAAAACACTTAGAAAATATTGCAAAATTTGTCTTCAGCCGAAGTATATGTACAAATGATCGAGCTTACTGACACGTACAAATCGAGCACAAAACAGAGAGACGGAACAATGACAAAAAAAATAAAATAAAATAAAATAAAACAAAATAACGGCGAGCGCTAAGTGTGTGTGTAAACGATAAAATAAAAAAAAGATACACTCACAGATATCATCTCTGCTATTGTTGTCCAAATCACTAGTTTGTGTGTGACTCTCCTCGTGCATACGCCGTCCTGCATCAACCACCAGCGCGGCACAAGGCACAAAAATGACTCGGTTACATATCTGAGGTGATGCAACGTACAATATACTAGCGATGCAATGTCGATAAAATATAAGATAAAAAAAAAAAAAGAGAGAGAGAGAGAAAGTGAGGAATGAAGTTTTTTTTTCTTTTTTTTTTTTTTTTTTCAATCTCTCAGAACAGGAAGGCGATACAAGCGGAGAAAGAAAATACAGTTCAAGAGAAACTTCTCTTTGAAAAATTCTCTTTTCGTTTTATACGTGTTTTTCTCGTTTGTGCATATTTTTTTTTTGTAATAAACGGCAAAAAGTTAAAGATTTATCAAATGTATTGCACGACCTGTCTGTAACATAAACTGCGTGAAATTTACATAAATGATTGTATAATAGTCGATATTGTCACATGACATCGTTAAGTCACTCGTATACATACAATCTTGCTTATACATATATATATATAAAATATTCAAGTATATTATAATTGAGAGTTTAGAGCTCAATTATGTATTAGTTGAACGTCTCGCATGCAACTTTCCGTAAAAAATATTATTACACAGTCTCAGTAGCGCTGACTGTATACTGCTTAAATTAAAAGTTAGATTTTTGCGAATCGATTGATCAAAATCTGTATGTTATACAAAATAATTAATAGTCGATATAAAATCATTTTTATATTTATAGTCGATATAAAATCTTGCTTAATTAAATATTCAGCATAATCTTGTTTAACTAGGAAAATTGCATGACATTTGTTTTGCCAATATATAGCTTCAAGATGAGTATAGCAAACAGATTATTTGTGCAAAATGTTTGAATTTTTTTTTTTTTTTTTGTTAAAATTCAAATAGTCAACTTATGCATTTACAAATATATATATATATTTTATTAAATAAATATATATATATATATATATTTATTTGATAAAAACAATATTTAATTTAAATTAGCAAATTAAATTATTATTACGTAGGATATAATAAGATTTCTATGCGTGAAGCTATACTTGGACGTTAACGTCTCGAAGTGTATTGTCAGATGGTGGAACATTGAACACATTGCCACTATTAATTATGTTCCCGATCTCTATACGAGTAATCATGGTATTAAATAGATAATATTAAATATGTGTCACTTGCCATTTTTTTGTTTCGTATTGTTCGACAAAGTAATGAGAAGAAAAAAAAAGCGATTAATGCGCACGAAAGTGAACGAATCTGAAACATCTGTGCTTCAACAACAATACGGCAATATTAAATATAAAAAAAAAATAATAATAATATATTAGAAGAGAAATCCTTTTTAAAACAATTTTTTTTTAAATTAAAGCAGTATCAAAAACATACACAGGTCTTTGTCCTTTTGCATATTAAACCGCAAAAGAATGAAGTTTACACAATGGCAAGACACAAGTAGAAAGAACGCATTTCGGCCGTTTATAAAGTAACATATAATATATAGTAAAACTTAAATAAAGCGTACAGAAAAATCGTATAAGTAATAATTATATTAAAATATACGTGTGTGTGACAATGACGGGGTAAACATAATCCGAGTAACTTACGCACACCCCCTGTGCACAAGCATCTGTATAAATTAAAGTCTCGCAGTTTCCTCTACATTTCTAACATTGATTAAAATGGCACGTTTAATATGAGCGTAAAAATTTGCATAATAATATATATATATACAATTCGAATGTGAATTCCGGTACACAATGTCGCATAACACAATCGTAAGAAGTAGTTTTTGTTTTTTTTTTTTCGATACTACTACTTAGCTGCTTCTCAACTGTTTCGTAATGAAGCACAAGTGACTCTGTCACGCACGGATCATCCGCAAAAGCTTCCACAACGAGTTTAACAATTGTTAACAAGCTCGAAAAAAAACTATTTCTGTACACGAACGTTTTTTTTTTTTGATATTCTCTCTCTGACATAAGTGTCTCTGTTTTTTGAAAGTCACATACCGAGTGCGCTCTCGAAATAACAAAAAAAAAAATAATAATAATAAAAATAAGTGAATCATTGGATTTATGTTCAGAAATAATATTGTCCGATTTTAAAGAAATAGCTGCCCCATTGTCGTAGACAATCCTAAAACGCAATCAATTAAAAAAAACATTAATATAATTATACATACCTTCTTACACAAAAAGTATTAACTACATGCATGTACAGAGATTGTTGCAAATTTTCGTGTAAAAATTTATAAAATAATCGAACCATTCACTTAAGTTGTAACACCGTGTTATTTACATACATGTTTTTTTTTTTTTTTGTGCTCTATCTTGTGCTGTATCTTGTGCGACCGTGCTGCTTTTTAAAGCTTATCAAATAATTACCACATATAAATTATGAAGCGTGCATAGACGTGTACACATGTATGATAACAAAAATCATTTTGTTTGTGTTTTTTTTGTTTGTTTTTTCTTATTTTATTTTTTTTTTTTTTTAACAAAGAGACACTTTCAGTTATGCCCTCGTAAGTACTACGTAATTATATAGCATATGTATGATTATTATAAATAAGTTTCAGAGAAGAATAGTAGAATACGTCACATGCAGAGAGAAAAATGCTAATCATTTTGTCGTTATTTTGTCTCTAAAAGACAATTTTTTTGGAAAAATTTAATTTTCTTCTTCGTTCGGTCATCAAAGATCATTGTTTTTAGATAAGAGTATATATATACGTATGTAAATATCTGCTTTATAGTTTGTTTTTTTTTTTGTTTTTACGTAATATAATATAACATATATATACTGTTAACGTGGTGAGAGAGGAGAAAAGGTAAAAAGACGTGAATTTTTTTGACTTACGAAATTTCGAAATATCGTAAATTCTAGTACTGAATGCAATAAAAGAACGTTCATCTCTTCTTTTGTGTTTTACTCTCACGATTTGAATCTTATTACATATATAACGATATTATATATAATATATAATTATATTAGTATTATATATATACATTACCATATATGCTACATGCAAAATATCTAAAAAAATAATCTTGCCAGACAGACGTAAACTTGATAAGAAAATACTGGATTTATGAACAATGCAAAAACGAACGATAATAATATGCAAACGATAAAAAAAAAAATACATAATAAAGAGATACGTACAGACAAATGAAGAAATTTGGACTTATTGAAAATTTGTTTCGGTCAGATCAGAGAAACAGAGTGAATAAATACTTTGAACGCGCGTGTACAACGAAAAAGCGAAAGCAATCATGCATGAATTTCAAGGAGTGCACGATATAGTTTCGTGTAATAATAATAATAATAATCTCGTCAGAGATTTGCGATCGAGTGAAGATACATGTGAGAAAAATTCTGACGCAAAAACAGTTTTTGTCGGCGTTGAGTTGTCGCTTTTTTTTGCAAAGCGTATAAAAGAACAAAGCTTATCGTGCTCACACGGATGAAATCTCTATTCAAAGTATTCATTCACAACATTTAGCTGTATCCTGTGTGGAGCGTGTGTTGTGCTGGGTGTGTGTATTTAAAAAAAAAAAACAAAAAAAAATCTTTTCTATTTACAACATCTACATAACATCGACAAAAAATTCACAAGGATTTCCCATCGCAATGCGAAATGACTGTCTACTACCAGATAAGTCTTGTTGATTCTGCTGATTCCCTGATCCCGTCCCCGTCTGAACGGACTGTTCGGAACCGCTTGAACGACTGCGACTCCCGTTTGATCTCTTTCCGTTCGAACCGTTTCCGTTCCCGGAGTTTTTGCTCGGCATTGACGGCACCGACGGATTGTGCAGCTCCGATTCCGACGCCGAGGAACAGGATTTTAGATCGTGAATTGGCTCCTTGCAAATGCGTTCGCTACCCGCGCTGCTACCACCTGTTCGATATCATATAACAAATACACATGAGATACGTGTACCAAAGAAGGAATCAATTTTGTGTTATCAGCAAATATCAGAAGAAGCAATTCTTTTCTCGATACGTGTTTTATGCGCGTACATTAATATTAGCAGGTGATAGAAAATGAAATTTTTGATCGATGATATTACCCGAACCACTGTGCACGCTCTCCTCCTGATTGTAACCGTAGACGGTGGGCTCGTTCGTGAAATTAAATGGCATGGGGCTGTAACCCGTCGCCGAGTGTGGCGCGTATGTTCCCGAATAAGGCATGTCCCAGGCATTCGGCGGCGGCAAGGGACCGACTGTATCACAATCCAGTTTCATGCTGCTCATGGCCGAACACAGATCACCAAATATGTAATAACATTGTTCGGAGAATGTGATTTTGTTCACTGTGTGCCGTATGAAACCGGCCTTCAACATGAGCGAAGCGTATTTTCTGGCATCACGCCGATCAATAAATCCCTCCACGTGCGTGTTCAACCAATCTACCACGTCCGCGCCTATAAATGCATTTGGAATGGTTATTTTAAGCCACATCCGATCGCGAATCTCTAAACCGGAGTCGGATCGAGCCATCGCTCGTACCACCGTCGGCATGTCGGTATTGACGGTCAAGTGAAGTTCTTCCAGAGGTCCTGAATCAAAAAAAAATATTTCCATTCAATTTTAAGTTAAACAGAAATTGTCGTCTCGGATGACGTTTAATCTCATTTGTTTATTCAATTTCACTCGCGGCAACAACTTGCTTCGTAAGAAAACTATATACTGATTTGTTGTTAAAAATTTTTGATCTCAAAAAATAAAACAATCAAAAAACAAACTTACGTTCAGTATCTGGCAGTGTGCTTGCGAGACTGCTCGATGTCGAAGTTAATGTAGTGGCACTTGGTGGACGAGGTGGGAAACCTTCGCCTCGTATGGCAGCTGTATGCGCTACCCACGCACCGGGGTCTATGGGACGCACCGGCTCCGTACGAGGTATTGTGAAATAACCCTTCGGATTCGGGTCCCAACATTTCGCGACTACAAGTTTTATTGGTCTGAAAAAAAAAAAGAAGAAACAATAATATTTAAAAACTTATTATTACGTTTTACAAACAAATACGCAATTTATTTTAAAGAAATTATTATGAATCAAATATATACCCTGGTTTTTGCACCACCTCGCGCAATATTCTCACCGCCTCGTCGTTGGACATGTTTTCAAAATTAATATCGTTGACTTGAAGAATCATGTCGCCAGGTTCTATCCGACCGTCTAGAGCGACCGCTCCCCTATATTTCAAACAAATTTTTTATCACAACATGAAAGTTTTACATACATGTCAATTTGTTATGTAATATAACATCGTTTTTTATCGCACACAAATAATGTAATTATACGCTTCGCACGGGCAGGCTATGTAACGGAAAGCAAAGCTATGAAATTGTCTCTGTTCTCACACGTGATTGATACAGAGATCGTTTATGTTGAGAAAGTTATCAATCGCTTCGCAATGTCACGTGTATCACGTGACATAGCTCCGAAATATATAGATATATATATATTCTACAAAACTTATCAAAAAATAAATAAATAAATAAATAAATAAATAAATAAATAAATATATATATATATATATACAGGGTGTTTCAGAACTATGGGATCAAACTTCTAGGGGTTATTCAGTGCAACAGTAGAAAACATTTGAGTATAGGGACCCATGTCCGGAAAAGTGTCACTACCGCACTACGGCCCTANTTTTCCGGACATGGGTCCCTATACTCAAATGTTTTCTACTGTTGCACTGAATAACCCCTAGAAGTTTGATCCCATAGTTCTGAAACACCCTGTATATATATTCTACAAAACTTATCAAAAAAAAATCAATCAATTAAAACCTCGATTTTAATCAAATATTCTAAAGACTAAATAACGCTTGTTAACGAGACCGGGATCAGTCAAAGAACATACTAACCCTTTCATTATTGAACCGACGTATATTCCACCATCTCCACCTTTGTTGCTTTGACCGACGATACTGATACCGAGAAAATTAACGGTGTCCATGTTTAATGAAACAGTTATAATATTTAAAGACATTGTACTGTCGGTAATACTACTAAATGATGATGTCCGAGACATCGGTGGTAATCTGTGACGCCGTCTTCTTTGCGGTCTACGTCGATCTGTAAGATAAGAAACATTCAGAAATTTTCCGCGTGTCCACAACAAAACACAACACCGAGACATTTGTACGCACACAGGGTGTCTCGTTGCGTGAGAAATTCAATATATAAAGAAATTTTATACATTAGGTCTACCGGAAAGTTCTGTCCGTTTTTGGAATAAAACAAAATACAAATTTTTCTTAAACTCGTCAATAAACTTTATTAAATAATATAAATTGCCATTATTATATTAATAATTTCTTTCCAGCGTGAGGGCAATTTGTATATCCTCCATTTTTGAAAAATTAAGAAAAATTTGTATTTTGTTTTATTTCCAAAAACGGACAGAACTCTTTCCGGTAGACCTAATATTATTTCTTTTTCCTATTTATAAATTGTTCTTTCTCGATTTTCTCTCACCTAAAGTACCTCTGTCGACCGCGCTGCTCATATTTGTATGTCGACCTGTTGTCGACGTGATGCGACTACTCGCGTCATCGTCCGATTCCAGAAACGTCGTCGTTTCCAAATCCGAACTCAAAATGGAAGCAGTCTCGTATCCGTGACCGGAGCGATGTTTCGAATGGCCGTTTATGCGAAGTCCTGGATAAATTTAGAGACGATACGTGAAAGCAACAATTTAAAAAAAAAAAAAAAAAAAAACAAGAAATCAACACAATCTTTAATAAAGCTACAACAGCAACGTACCGTTGTATTTGTTGTATTTCTCATATTTTTCTGAATGATGCCTTGAGCTCTTGTGCAAGTGATGACCCTGTCGACTGCTTATGATACTTTCCGTCTCTGTCAACGTGTCGTCGTGCGAGAGCGGAGCGGTCGGTCTGTTACCGTGTCCGGGTGTTATGTGATCAACACGTTCGTGTTTAGCTTCACTGTGCGCCATCGAGTCCGTACACTGGGATGCGCCGTCCGACACGTTACTACCTTCGGCCGACACCAACTGTCACAAAGTGTTGTTGTTGTTGTCAAAATAACACACCGAAATTTTTTTTTTTTTCCTTAATGAACCAACGAACACTTTGTTACGTAACAAAAACGTATCTAAATTTCTTCGAAGAAAAACAAACAAGCGACACAAGATAGTAGTCTTTGTTTAACAGAGAAAAATCAAATATTATCTTACCCAAGAGACAACCCGACCGTTGAAGCATGGCAAGTGAGCATCGTCGTCCACAATCTCTTCCTTTACCACACTGGCAGGGGAACAACAAAAAAAAGCAATTTAATATACACGGTCGTTGTCAACACAAATCAGTTTAAAGTCTACAAAATCAAAGATCGGCGATAAAAAAAAAAGCTCTTAACACTTGACACAAAAAAAAAAAAAAAAAAAGATTCTCTGTACAACGAACTCCGTTTCTCTGTGCGAAATAAAAAATTCGCGGAGCTTTTTCGCGATCAAGTTTCAAATACGCTAGATTTAAAAAATATTTTTGTTCAAAAATCGGACGCCGATAAATTGCAAATGTGCACAGACGTACATAAAAAAATACGAAATGTTGTGTAAATGAAGCGGCGAGTCGGGGCAATGACTCTCTCTCTCTCTCTCTCTCTCTCTCTCTCTCTTTCTTTCTCTCTTTTTCTCTTTCTCTCTCTCTCTCACACGAGTCGTGCTCGAGTACAAAATCGAATATATACACAAATGTATTAAAAGAGACGTTACGTGTGTGTGCGAGCGAACGCGAAGGGGTGACAACCCCCGGCGCGCTGATCCTCGTCATCCCGAACACAACAACACACTTACCCGAAGTCATCGTCCATTGACTTGAAGAAATACTTGTAATTCGGCCGATTCAAAACGTTTTTGAAGTCGGCCAGGGTTACACGCTCCGGCGAGATGTTGAGCTTAACCAGATACGGCGTTTCCTCGTCGTCCATGTGATAAATAATCTTCGTTTCCTCCATCGTCGGAGCTTGTGTCACACTGAGTTCATTCGCTTCGTTGAAGAAGAAACGATACGATCTACGCGACACGGGTACTAACGACTCGGACGATACTCTCGCGAACCAATATGGCGCGTCGCGCATAAGAGAGCTGCCCCCAAAGCCCCAGCTGTGCCCCGTTCGCTCAAGATCGCATGTCTTTGCCGGGTCTCGTCCCGACGAGACGAGATTCACGTAACCCGCATTCAACGGGGGAGGAGTCGTCGTCGTCGCACGCTCGCGCCGTCGTTCACGAGGAGGAGACCGGAACCGGGCATATTATCCGCGCGGCACGCAAAATCCGCACCGATCGCGATGATAAATCAAACGTCAACATCGCATCGCACCGTCCGGAGGATTGTGCGTTTTTACGCTCTCCCCACATGCAGAGAGAGAGACAAACGCGCGTCCGACGACGCACGCACACAGACTCGCTCGCTCGCTCGCTGGCCGATGTGATGATATCGAAATTGCTCGAAAACTAAAAACCCCCCGCCCGCGAAGACTTCGGTGCGAGCAGATGCCACACCAGTGGGAAACTGGCTTCTCCGAGGACACTCTCACCGCGAGACCAATTGAAACAACGGACGGATTCCGGCTTTCGGATGCCCGGCCTGGGGCGCGTGTCCTCCGAGAACTTGCGGAAAACTCTCTCGAGAACCAATGACGCGAGTTTCAGCTTTTGACCAGCTCAATTCCGATTGGTTGGTTCGCAATTTTTTTTTTTTTTTTACGATTCCGGAATTTGAAACGAGCGCGCGGTGTTGACACGGGCTTTAGGCCTGTTCTACAATACTGTCGTAAGCCGTAAGTCGTAAGAAATTGACCAATCACAGACCAATTACAGAAGAATAATCGATTGTGATTGGTCAATTTCTTACGACTTACGGCTTACGACTGTATTGTAGAACAGGCCTTAAGGACCGTCTACAATGGAGAGTTGTAGGCCGTAATAGTAAGAAATTGACCAATCACAGACAAAGTACAGAAGAATAATCGATTGTGATTTGTCAATTTCTTACTATTACGGCCTACAACTCTCCATTGTAGACGGCTCTTTACACTTTCGAGAGCGATTCCGATTGGTCGTACCCCCCCCCCGTTCGTGAGAACGCGCGCGCGTGTTCTTTTTTTTTGTCTCTCCCCACACACACGGAGCGATATGTCAACACCGTTTGTATGTGTGTGTGTGTGTGTATTACATATATGTTCTCTACTGTCATGTACACATACGGTTGCGTCAGGTTGAGCTGGGTTGAGCAATTTTCATCGAGGTTGTTTATGTTTTTTATTTTGTTTGCGGAAAGTTCGGAGAGTTTGTTGTTTGAGAATTCGCGAAACGCGATGTCCACGTCGCAATAGATGAGAATTCATCTAACGAGTAGTTTGTATTAGACTTTTTTTGGTCTAAAAAGATCAAGAATACATGTGCGGAGAATTTTTTCCCACCGTACGCGTCTGGTTTACTTTTTTAAAGGAAATAATAAAAAAAAAATTGAAATATTATGGAAACGACACCGGTCGAAACCGCGGAGGAGGGTGGCGAGAAGGTCCAAACCAGTCCGCCGATCCAGATAGTGCGAGTGCCGGTGAAACACGCCAATCTGGGGATACGAAGTCACGCCATGTGAGTTTGCGAACAAAAGGATCTGCATCTTTGTTTGTTAGAATTGCGCCAATGTTTGTTTCTCTTTGCAGGGATATGAGCACAATGGTGGAACTGACGTCGTTCAGCACGCTCGGAAAGATACAGCCGTTTCTGGTGACCGTCACGACCACCGCAGCTTTACTGGTTGATCTGCATTGCCATTTAACGGACAAGGAAGTCTGCGGCTATCTGGGCGGACATTGGGACATCAATTCACACAGTACGTGTGTCCTGTAAACTGCACATATAATTGCACAACAAAGCGCACAACTGTTTTAGTCTAAGCACACAAAAAGGAGAAATGTTGTGGTTGGATCTTACTTGTTATTGTGTAGATCTCTCTATAACTTGCGCATTTCCGTGCCGATACTCCGGCAAGGATAAATCAGCCGCGGCAGCTGTGGAAGCTGAAATTGCAAGAGCCATGGAATGGAAGCGAGTTACACTTGTAGGCTGGTATCACTCTCATCCGCGTTCTCACGCGTCACCATCGTTGAGGGATGTGGACTCTCAATTGGATTATCAAATTAAAATGAAAGGGCCTAGTGATAACGGATACACACCGTGCGTGGGATTGATATGCTGTAAGTAAGCTTTGAAAGTTTGCTGAGAAGGGGTGAGTATTTCATATTGTGCCAATTGAGCAGAAGTTTTCTTGATTTGCGTTGTGAAAATTGTTTTTTAATTTATATATTTCTAACTTTCATAGCTCCTTACAACATGGATGGCAATTGTTACGAATCCAATTTCAATGTCTTTTGGTCTTTGCCACCTCCTGAAAACAGGCCTCACGAGTATCCTCGACCCATGCTTTTAAGTTACACATTGTCACAGGAGCATTTTCTTGCTCAAGATACTTTGGAAGAAATTGTACGTATTTAATCCGATATATATAATATATATTATATATATAATATATATAATATTATAAATAGTATAATAATTATAATATTATATATATTATATAAATATATAATATATATATATATAATATTATAATATATATATATATAAAATCTGTTCACAAAACAAATCTAAAAAGGATCACAGAAATTCGGAAGACGAATGATTGACTTTTTGTATTTACTTTGTTTTGTAGAGAAGATGTATAGAATATTATAAGAGCGAAGGCGGCATTGATTTTACCGCCAACTTTAACGGCAACACAACGTATCTCGAACGTTTAAGAGTGAGTATACATTACGATTGAGATATTGAATGTAAATAAAAAATCAAATTCGAACCATTAACTTACAAAAACATGATTTGATGTCGATAGTGTTCTCTGGCGTCTAAGCTGCCCGGTCGTAACAGATCGAACGGATCTTATTGGGACGTGATCAGAGAAATGATTTGCCCGGGTTCGGATGATGGCAACGCACCCGAGTTCCTAGCCATGAAATTTCCCTTGGTGCCGTCCTCGGATTCGCTTGGACCGCCTGTTCCGCCGGGTGTAGGTCTCACAGCCGGTAACGCGGTCTTTCTCGCCCCGGTCAACTTCAAACCGGACGGCGGCGCTATAATCACTCCAACATCCAAACCGTTCGTATTGCAACCGTCTACTTCTCGAGACGGCATCAAGAAGGACAGCAACATAGGTCCCAACGATCCCGCGTCCATCACTCAGATAAAAGATGGCAACGCGGTCATAAGTTCCAAGCACATGTCGCCGGATATCATACCTAGCTTCCAGTCGGGCGAGCTCACGGTATCGGTGAAGAACACGAAGTGCGACTACGATTTTGCGCCAGCGGATTTCTCAAAACTGCCGAATCCGCTGACCGGCGACAGCGCCGTTCCCAAAATCCGACCGTCGACAAATCCCGACTTCCCATTGACGGATATCACCCAGCAGATCACCAAGTTCTCGGATTTGACCAAATTGGCGAACTTCTCCAGTGCCGATCTGGCAAAACTGTCTGGTTTCTCTATCACGGACTTCACGCGCACCTCATCCTCGTCCTCGCCGTCCACGTATATGCGTAACATCGCGAATCTGTTCGGTCCTCTCGGCAAGATCTCACCGGCAAAAGACGTCGAGGGCAACGAACGCAAACCGGGCAACGAATTCGTCACCGTTGACGCGGTACCGTCGCCCTTCAAAACTGCCGCCGTTACGTCGGAAACCTGTCGAAACTTTTCAACAGCAACCATCGATGATTACACGAGCGAGCGAAAGAAATTGGACGCGCAGCAGACCGACTCGTCGACGAAACTCGTCAGACCGGGCGATTATCAAGGAACGGAGGATCTCACGATATCGAGCATTAAATCTGATTTTAGCGGAATGCTGGACATGACAACGATCCATAAGAAGCAACAGTCGCAAACGGCCGACATAATAGATTCTTTGAATCTTTCGAAAGATCGTTAAACTATATATTATTATTATATATAAAAACTCATTTATAATATTGCAATAAGTATTATACTATAGAATTGAGTTTTCAACTCAAAAAACACTCACTTGTAAAAATTTACAAGTTGAATTCGTTACATGTGTATGTATATATACATATACACAAACACAGTTTCTACTCAAACATCCTGCGAATGGCTCGTAAGGCCTTATATATATATATATATATCTTGTTATTATACTATAATTCTCTCTCTCTGAGGCAAATCTGAGCAGTATTACAATTTGTACTTACACCGAGACTGTGTACCGAGAGATTTTTCTTTCTCGAGATTATTAACTATATTAAAATCTTGGTTTTTTTTTTTTAAAGTTTTTTGAAAGTAATAATGCCGATATATATCGAATTGTGTCGAATGTATGTTTATGTTTTAATATTATGTTTTAATTGTGCTTTGTATTATTAATTTTAAATTGTATAAACAATTACAGTCGAACCTTCCAAAACGTATACTTACACAAATCCACCCTCAAAAACGTTTCAAAAAATTTTCTCCTTCATCACTTTTCTCACCACTAACAACAAGTATGATTACAACTACAACGCTAGCGCGAGATAAATTTATATCAAGTAAATTTTTGCGTATGGGTGAGGTAAAGAGCGAGGGAATAGGGGAAGTATGCGTTTCGGGAAGTTCGAGTGTAATATGATTTTGCTATAAGGACAATGCAAGCACTTAAAGATAGCTCTCTCTCTAATGGAAACGGAAATTTATAAGAAATAATTTTTTTTATTCAATTTGGTACTCGAATATTGTTATATTTTATATTTTATGTATAAAATGTATGTATATAAGTGTGAATTTTCATTTATATATTTTGATTTTTCCACGTGAATGTGTGGTGCGATTGGTGTGTTTAACTTCGTCGTTTGTATGTTTAAAATCAGCGATTTATATAAAAAAAAAAAATCTATTAAAAAAATAAATATAAATAAGTACATGTATAAAAATAGAAAATTAGTAGTTAGTTTTTTATTTAAAAAAAAATGGTGCTTGTTGAATTTATTGTTAGAAGCGAAGAGAAGCCAGAAAACAACCGTCTCCTTTGATGCAAACAAAATAATAGGTTTGTTTTTTTTTTCCCCTGAACTGACTGCACTAGTTCACAGTCTATCTTTTTTTATACATATTAGAAAAAAAAGATAGACTGGTGCAGCCAGTTCAGGAAAAAAAAAACAAACCTAATGGCAACCATAGACGTATAATATATAGACTGCGCGTTCCCTACCTTTGCCATGTTAAGAAAATGTCTTCAACTAGTGTGAGTGAAACACACTGATATGCTCTTTCTCACACTAATGGACACTGTGTAACACAGTGTCGCCTGTGTACGTAGTTGGAAAGCACCCCATGCTTTCATGGCGTGATGTCTTTGTGACTCGTGGAAATTTACGTTCGAAAGTAATGGCGGCATAGTATTGTAAGATATGACCGGCCCGGTGGTCTCGCGGCCTGAGTGCAGGGGCTGCGAACTCCGGAAATCTCGAGTTCGAATCCGCTCATCACCTTAAGGATTTTTCCGGGCCGGTTCCTTTCAATCGAGTTTATCGATTGATCGGGTGAACTGAATCGAGACTCGAAAAAATTAATTCGAGTGTAATCTCGAATTTAAATCTATCTCCCACAAGGCGATCATAGGTCTAGTTTCCACCGAAACCCTCAATTCAGTTTCACTCCGGTACAAATTAAATTTAGTGTTCCGTTTCCATTGGAAGTAGAGTACTTATAGATCAAAGCGGAAGTGAAATCAGCACAATTTGACAGGTTTCCATCGACTTGAATTTGATTCTACGACGCATTTGGTGTGAAGTAATGCTTCGGTGGAAACTAGACCAGTGTTCACAGTTTTGGCTTCCTTAAGGGTCTCCATTGTAGACAGCTCTTTACTACAGCATGCTGAATAGATGGAAGGGATGCGCGCAACAGCAACGAATTCTACCTGCATATAAACTCGCTGCTGTTGTGCGCATCCCTTCCACTGCTGTAAGGAAGGTAAAACTGTGATGAACACTGGCGGTTACTCAAATCGCCAGAATCCGTTCTGCTCCTGAAGTGGTCAGCACGAGTTTGTGTCATCATCGCGACTCAACGGCTTATTCACACAAAAAATCCTGTAACGTTCGCGCGTTTAGGAGTCGTCGAGCCCGCTTGTTCTTGCTCCTTTTTCTAACGCGTTGTTGGTGTTAAAGGTATGTAAAACAATAAAGTAATTTATTAATAATCATTCTTTATTTCCCGCCGTTTCTTTGTCGCGCACGTGGTCATCACCGTTTTATAAGTTTTACGACCGTTTCGGCCTGGTTTATGCGGGCAATAACTGTTAACTTTTTATGCCGGAACTGGGGTAAAGTTTAACTATAGGATTTCAATACTTCTGTTTATACGCTTTCGGCAATTTTGTATAAAACAGAAGCATTGAAATCCTATAATTAAACTCTACCGGTTCCGGCATAAGTTAAACAGTTATTGCCCGCATAAACCAGGCCAAAACGGCCGTAAAACTTGGGCTGCGTTCGGGGAGCGCGCTATCAGCGCTATTGCGTTATTCTGTCTTTGTTTTACATCTAATTAGCAATAAAGATAGAATGATGCAACAGCGCTGATAGCGCGCACCCCGAACGTACCCTTGTAAAACGGCGATGACCACGTGCGTGGCAAGAAAATGGCGGGAAATGAAGAATATGATTATTCCTCACTCACATACTCCAGAAATATTATACGGCTTGTGGTTACAATTATTACATTCTGATTAGTCAATTTTCTTACGGCTACGTCTTATGGTCTCAAGTTTTATGTGCGAAAGCCATAAGAGAGCCAAAACTGAGGACGCTGCTCTTACGCAAGGTCTGTAGAATAGACACGTGCCTGGTAACAAATNGCAACCAAAGCGTCCGATGGGGGCGGCCATATTGCTTCGTCACTCAGCATGCCAAACAACATCATTTGCACCTATGAAGCTTATATATTTTAAAAATAATTAAAAGGCCGATACGAGCAGTAAATACGGGATGTGCGTGTATAAATATAAGTCTTTATTCCAAAAACACATACGTTTCGGTCCTCAAATTTGGACCTTCTTCAGTGTAATAAACATTCAATTAAAAAACAATTTAGATCACAACATCACAAAAATATAAAGTAAATGTGATGTTGTGATCTAAATTGTTTTTTAATTGAATGTTTATTACACTGAAGAAGGTCCAAATTTGAGGACCGAAACGTATGTGTTTTTGGAATAAAGACTTATATTTATACACGCACATCCCGTATTTACTGCTCGTATCGGGCTTTTAATTATTTTTAACTTTTCACGAGCGATTGATTGATNCTAATATATTTTNCTGGCGTGATAGCGATATAGTTGCATATTTCATATAATATACGAACCATGTAACTCGTATTAATTTAAACGGGCATGCTGAATGACATCACTTTGGCATTTTCTGATTGATCGAGAGTTACCAGGCAACCTGTCTATTCTACAGACCTTGGCTCTTACGTTTTCTCTCTTCTTGCTACTTATCCCGCTCTCGGTACGTACCTGACTAATTTAAATTTTACTATTGTAATACATATAAATACTTACAGGAAAACCAAAACTAAAACTTAAACGGAGAAACAACATAGAAGACAGATTTGAGAGAAAAACGGATGCAAATTGAGCACTACTTTTACCATGGACTATATTGATCCAAGCTACACGTTAATAAATGCAGTTCGTGAAGGGAACCTAGAAAGAGCTAGGGAGATACTGACTTATTTTGGACTATCTTATTCACAAGCATGGAAAGGAGGATATGTTTTACTTTGTGATGCTATTGAGAATAAGCATACTGAAATTGTTAAACTACTTTTAACAAACGGTTCTAACGTTAACAGCAACACTGCCAAATTTGATAATGACGATTATGATACTCCACTTCATCTTGCTGTTATAAATGATGACATAGAAATTGTTAAGATGCTTCTAGACAGACATGCTGCCGTTAATTCTTCAAATAGGTATTGCACAACACCACTACACAATGCAATTGCAAATAAGAACATAGAAATTGCTAACTTGCTTTTAAATCATGGAGCTAGTATTCATGCTAGTGATGAGTTAGGTATGGCTTTTTTTTTTTATATTGCAGCTGAGAAAAGATATTTACAGATTAATGAATATCTTTTAGAACATGGAATTTACTTGGAGAGTTAATTCTACATATATCTCTTCCTTTTCAGATATAACACCGTTGCGTCTCGCTGTTCACACAGGATTTGTAGATGGTTTTAAGATGTTTATGGACCGAGTTTTTGATGTTAATATTGAAAATTGGTGTGGCAGAACTTTGCTACACGATGCGATGGAATGTGGCGAAATAGAGATTACCGATATACTTTTAAATTATGGAGCTAACGTCGATGCCCGTGATATAGACGGTATACCTTCATATTGCAGCTGAGAAAAGATATTTACAGATTGAAAGATGAACATCTTTTTGACCATTAAGTTTAATTGGAGAAGTAATTCTACATACACATCTCTTCCTTTTCAGGTTTTACACCACTGTTTCATGCTGTTCTAAACGGACATGTAGATGGTGTTACCATGCTTATTGAACGAGGTGCTAACGTGAATGCTGAGACTCTAGATGGAACAACTCCAATTCACGAAGCGGCTAAATATGCGAAAATTGAGATTGTAGAAGTACTTTTAAATCGTGGAGCTGACGTTAATGCCTATGATAACTACGGTATACCTTTATATTGCAACTGAGAAAAGATATTTACAGATTGATGAACATCTTTTAAACCATGGAGTTTAATTGGAGAGTAAATTCTACATATATTTCTTCTTTTTCAGGTCATACACCACTGTATTATGCTGTTCTAGAAAAACATGTAAATAGAGTTAAGATGCTTATCGACGGAGGTGCAAATGTTAATGCTGAAATTCGGTATGGCACAACTCCTCTTTATGATGCGATTGAATATGAGGATTTGGAGATTGCTGAAATATTATTACATCATGGCGCTAACGTTAATGCCCGTGATTCCTACGGTATATCTTTATATTGCAGCTGAGAAAGGATATTTACAGATTGATTAACATTTTTTAAAACATGGAGTTTATATTAATTTCACATATATATATATATATATACATTTCCACCAGGCATTACACCACTGTATCATGCTGCTCGAAGTGGACGTGTAGATGGTGTTAAGATGCTTATTGAAAGAGGTGCTATCGTCACTGCTGAAACTGGAAATGGCACTACTCCACTTCACGATGCGATTGCAGTCGGGACGGAAAGTGCTGAATTACTTTTACATCACGGTGCTAACGTTAACGCCAGTGATACATACGGTATAACTTTATATTGCAGCTGCGAAAAGATACTTATAAATTTGTGAACATTTTTTACAACAAGGAGTTTATATTAATTCTAAATATATATCTACATTTATACATCAGGTGTTACACCACTGTATCGTGCTATTGAAAATGGACATGTAGATGGTGTTAAGATGCTTATTAACAAAGGTGCTGACGTCACTGTTGAAACTCGAGATGGCACAACTCCGCTTCATTATGCAATTATATATGATGAAATGGAAATTGCGGAGTTACTTTTACATCACGGAGCTAAGGTCAACAACAGTGATATATACGGTATACCTTCATATTGCAGCTGAAAAAAGATTTACAGATTGATGAACATCTTAAAATATGGAGTTTATATTACTTCTATTTATATCTATTCCTTTCCACCAGGTGATACACCACTACTCCATGCTGTTAAAAAAGGACATGAAAAATTTCTTGCCACGTTTTTTCCCAGATGTAATAATGTTAGAGCTAATATTCGGTATGACAAAACTTCGCTTCGTAATGCTACTGAATATATGGGATTAGAAATTGCCGAACTCCTCCTAAATCATGGAGCTACTATTAACGCCAGTAACGATAACGGTATACTTTTTTTTTATATTGCAGCTGAGAAAGGATATTTACAGATTGCTGAACATCTTTTAAAACATGGAGTTTAAGTGGAATCAATTGTACATGTATCTATTTCTTTTCAGATGTTGCATTACTGTGGTTTGCTGTTCACAGAGGAGATGTAGATATTGTTAAGATGCTTTTAGACAGTGGTGCAAATGTTGATGCTAAAACTTGGTACGGCACAACTCCGCTACACGACGCGGTTGAATATGAGGAATTGGAAATTGCACAGTTACTTTTAAATTATGGAGCAAACGTTACTGCCAGTGATAAGACAGGTATAACTTTTTATTGCAGCTGAGAAATAATATATAAAAATTTTTGAATATTTTTTACTACATGGAGTTTATGATAATTTTACATATATATGTACATTTTCACCAGATGTTACACCACTACATCTTGCTGTTACAAAAGGACATAAACAATTTGTTAGGTTGTTTCTTGATAGTGGCGCTAACTGTAATGCTAAAACTCGGGATGGCACATCCCCGCTTCACCATTCGATTGAATATGAGGAAATGGAGATTGCAGACTTACTTTTACATCACGGCGCTAACGTAAATGCCACCGATAATTTAGGTATAACTTTATATTGCAGCTGAGAAAAGATACTTATAAATTTGTAAACATTTTTTAAAACATGGAATTTATATTAATTCTACATATCTACATTTACACCAGGTGTTACACCACTACATTTTGCTGTTACAAAAGGACATAAACAATTTGTTAAGATGCTTATTGACAAACGTGCTTACGTCGATGCTGAAACTCGAGACGGCACAACTCCGCTCCACAATGCGATTGAATATGAGCAAATGGAGATTGCTGAATTACTTTTAAATCATGGAGCTAATGTTAATTCCAGTAATGAGTCAGGTATAACTTTATATTCCAGCTGAGAAAAAATATTTCTGATTGATGAACATTTTTTTAAACATGGAATTTAATTGAAGAGTTAATTCTACATATTTCTCTTTTTTTCAGGTGAAACACCACTGTTTCTCGCTGTTAAAACAGGATATGTAGATGGTGTTAAGATGCTTTTGGTCAGAGGTGCCGATGTCAATGCTGAAATTCCGGATGGCACAACGTTGCTTCACTATGCAGTTCTATATGAGAAAATGGAGATAGCGGAATTACTTTTAACTGATCATGGAGCTAACGTTACTGCTAGTAACGATGAAGGTATTAATTCTCTTTATAGTGCAGCTGAAAAAGGATATTTATAAATTGATGAACATCTCTTAAAACATGGTGGGAATATTAATTCTACATATATCTATTTTTTTACACCAGGTGTTACACCACTGTGTCTTGCTGTTGCAAACGGACATAAACAATTTGTCCAGATGTTTCTTGACAGTGGTGCTAACGTTAACGCTGAAACTCGAGATGGCACTACTTTTCTTCATACTGCAATTGAATATGAGAAAATGGAGATTGCAGAATTACTTTTAAATAACGGAGCTAACGTTACCGCTAGTAACGATTACGGTATAACTTCTCTTTATATTGCAGCTGAGGAAAGATATTGACAGATTGTTGAACATTTTTTACAATAAGGAGTTTAATTCTACATATATTTATATATATATCTTCCTTTACTTTAGGTGTTACACCACTATTTGTTGCTATTACAAATGGACATGTAGATTGTGTTAACATGCTGTTGGAAAGAGGTGCCAACGTTAATGGTGAAACTGGAGAGAGCACAACTCCGTTAAACAATGCTATTGAAAATGGGAAAACGGAGATTGCTGAAGTACTTTTAAATCATGGAGCTAACGTTAATGCCAGTGATAAGTCAGGTATAACTTCAAATTGTAGCTGAGAAAAGATATTTACAGATTCATAAACATCTTTTAAAACATGGAGTTTTATGTTAATTCGACATATATCTCTTCTTTTGCACCAGGTGTTACACCACTGTGTCTTGCTGTTGAAAAAGAAAATGTAGTAGCTGTTGCGATGTTGTTAGACAGAGGTGCGGATATTAATGCTATATCATATAACGATTATTCTGACTTTTCTCGTCGCATCTATTATGAAGAAATTGCTGATTTTCTTACGCAGCATATAGTTAAGATAAAAGCTGCAAATTTATTCGTAAGTGAACAATTATTATCAATGTGCAGCAATTATGAAATAAGAGATTTACAGGATGAATGTGAAACAGAAGTAGCAATCATGAAGAATGAGAAAATTAGTAATACTACTATATCATTTTACAATATCTTGATAAAAGATACAAATCGAGTAGCAATATACATGAGAAATGAACTTGTAGTGCAGGTTTTAAGATCAGACGAGTATAAAATAAAATTTCCAATATACTCTAGCATGATAAAAAATCAGTTCAGAAAAGGTATGGAAAGAAAAGAGTTGCTCGAACAAGGCACTATAAGTTTTTATTTTTTCTGTAACTTTCCTGTGCTACCACTTGAGTGTATTGAAAAAATAATTAGTTTCTTAAGTAATAATGACATAAAAATATTAATAGATACTTGTAAATTTGTTAGTGTCAGTAATCTTAATAACTGATATTAATAGAGTACTGGATACCGACTATGTAAACCGACGTTCTTTAATCAGATTCTGTGTCGTATTTACTGCATCAAATCCAAAATGCTTCTCNAGAAATAATTAAATTGTGCTAAGAAATGGCTGTTGTGCTTTGGAATGTCAAAATTCATCACAAATTTTTTCGCTTTTAATGTCATACAGTAAATAAAATTAGAAAAATAAAGAATTTTATGTTATAAAAACGTCGGTTTCCAGGTCGCTTTAGTCGGTATCCAGTATCCTCTTATAGCCAATTATTTCACTTCTAGCGGCCGATTTCTTCGTACCTCTCGATAGCTATCCTCTGGATAAATTCTTCTGATAACCAATAAGGAGAACCAATTTTGGGAGATATCTTTTAGATAAAGTTATCGAAAACTTATCTAGAAGTGAAAACATTGGCTGTAGATAAGTTTTCGATAACTTTATCTAGAAAATATCTCCCAAAATTAGTTCTTCTTTTCAGTTCTCAGAGGAATTTATCCAGAGGATAGCTATCGAGAGATATAAAGAAATAGGCCGTTAATGATGTATAAATTACTTCAAATACATGTAAAGTGCTATGTGTGTAAGTTAAGAAAAAATGAACTATTATTTAAACATGTGAAATAACAGCTGTACAAACGTAAAGATTATTGTTGTATTGTAAATACAGATTACTATCTTATTTTAAAATTATTATTTTTTTAAGATTTTATCTTATCCCTACTTTTTTGAAAGTTATTTTTTACGTTTACATTCTCTTGGACGTGTTCTTTTATGGTCTATCAAAGGAAAACTAGACTGTTTTATATCTTCCCCTTTTTCAAACTTTGTGTCAGATTTTATAACATTTGTATAACGCAAAATTTATATACATTAATCCGATGATACTCTTTTATTGAAGACAGAGTGTAATACGTGTAATTGCTTTTATTAATTAAAAAAATAAAATTATGTGCGATGGATATGTTTAACTTCATTGTATGTATGTTTAAAATCAGCGATTTATATAAAAAAATCTTCTATGAAAAAAATAAATATAAATAAGTACACGTATAAAAATAGGAAATTAGAAGTTAGTTTTTTAATTAAAAAAATGGTGCTTGTTAAATTTATTGTTAGAAGCGAAGAGAAGCCAGAGAGCGACTATCTCATTTGATGCAAACAAAATAATAGGTTTGTTTTTTTCCCTGAACTGGCTGCACGCTGCACTAGTTCACAGTCTATCTTTATTTATCCATATTAGACAGAAAAAGATAGACTAGTGCAGCCAGTCCAGAAAAAAAAAAAANAGAAATAATTAAATTGTGCTAAGAAATGGCTGTTGTGCTTTGGAATGTCAAAATTCATCACAAATTTTTTCGCTTTTAATGTCATACAGTAAATAAAATTAGAAAAATAAAGAATTTTATGTTATAAAAACGTCGGTTTCCAGGTCGCTTTAGTCGGTATCCAGTATCCTCTTATAGCCAATTATTTCACTTCTAGCGGCCGATTTCTTCGTACCTCTCGATAGCTATCCTCTGGATAAATTCTTCTGATAACCAATAAGGAGAACCAATTTTGGGAGATATCTTTTAGATAAAGTTATCGAAAACTTATCTAGAAGTGAAAACATTGGCTGTAGATAAGTTTTCGATAACTTTATCTAGAAAATATCTCCCAAAATTAGTTCTTCTTTTCAGTTCTCAGAGGAATTTATCCAGAGGATAGCTATCGAGAGATATAAAGAAATAGGCCGTTAATGATGTATAAATTACTTCAAATACATGTAAAGTGCTATGTGTGTAAGTTAAGAAAAAATGAACTATTATTTAAACATGTGAAATAACAGCTGTACAAACGTAAAGATTATTGTTGTATTGTAAATACAGATTACTATCTTATTTTAAAATTATTATTTTTTTAAGATTTTATCTTATCCCTACTTTTTTGAAAGTTATTTTTTACGTTTACATTCTCTTGGACGTGTTCTTTTATGGTCTATCAAAGGAAAACTAGACTGTTTTATATCTTCCCCTTTTTCAAACTTTGTGTCAGATTTTATAACATTTGTATAACGCAAAATTTATATACATTAATCCGATGATACTCTTTTATTGAAGACAGAGTGTAATACGTGTAATTGCTTTTATTAATTAAAAAAATAAAATTATGTGCGATGGATATGTTTAACTTCATTGTATGTATGTTTAAAATCAGCGATTTATATAAAAAAATCTTCTATGAAAAAAATAAATATAAATAAGTACACGTATAAAAATAGGAAATTAGAAGTTAGTTTTTTAATTAAAAAAATGGTGCTTGTTAAATTTATTGTTAGAAGCGAAGAGAAGCCAGAGAGCGACTATCTCATTTGATGCAAACAAAATAATAGGTTTGTTTTTTTCCCTGAACTGGCTGCACGCTGCACTAGTTCACAGTCTATCTTTATTTATCCATATTAGACAGAAAAAGATAGACTAGTGCAGCCAGTCCAGAAAAAAAAAAAAACAAACCTAATGGCAACCATAGACATATAATATATAGACTGCGCGTTCCCTACCTTTGCTATGTTAAGAAAATGTCTTCAACGTTGAGAGAGAGACAGCTGGTGTTGAATAGTAGCCTCATCTTTGTCTAGCGAAGTAGTGGGGGAAATGATAGACAGAGAAAGAGTTACTATTCAAAGTATGTTGTCTCTCTCAACGTTGAAGACATCTTTTCAGCCAAACGCGCAGTTTATATATTATACGTCTATGATGACAACGTGCAAACATTATGCTAGCATGAGGTGCTTTCCAACCATATATGTAATACTCCTATATTGCTAGTACGGTGCCGACCTGAAGCTCACCGTTACGGTGCAGACAATATAGTAGCCTCTCTCTCCAACTGCTTTGTGCGCATGCGGTGAACATAATGACGCTCGACCATCTATGCCCATATTTGGACTTCGTGCGTCTCCCTTTCTCGGGCCTCGTGCCTCTCATTGCGAAGATACGCGACTAGCAATATAAGAGTATTACATATATGTTTCCAACTACGTTACACAGCCGACACTGTGTAACACTGTGCCCACTAATGTGAGTGAGACACACTGATATGCTCTTTCTCACACTAATGGACACTGTGTAACACAGTGTCGCCTGTGTACAGACGGCGTCATTAATTCGAAGAATAGGCGCGGGGATCACATAAAAAGTCCAGTTGATCCAAATATCCATTAGTCCCAATATCGGGTGTCCAGTTGTGGACACCCGATTGCTACTGGTTAGTTAGTACGGCGCCCGTTGGCGCTACGAGCAACCGCCCCGTTTGCCCTTCGATCCCTGCGCCAATTCTTCGAATTAATGACGCCGTCTGTACATAGTTGGAAAGCAACCCATGCTTTCATGGCGTGATGTCTCTGTGACTCATGGAAATTTAAGTTCGAAATTAATGCCGGCATAGTATTGTAAGATATGACCGGCCCAGTGGTCTCGCGGCCTGAGTGCAGGGGCTGCGAACCCGGAGGTCTCGAGTTCGAATCCGCTCATCACCTTAAGGATTTTTTCCGGGCCGGTTCCTTTCAATCAAGTTTATCGATTGATCGGTGAACTGAATCAAGACTCCAAAAATTAATTCGAGTGTAATCTCGAATTATAAATCGATCTCCCACAAGGCGATCGTAGTCCCAACAACTTGAAAACGAGCCCGACACAGATGGACACGCCCACAGTGAAAGAAGGCCGTGTATCGCGTGGTAGTTAGTTAAGGCTGCGTTCGGAAACATCACTCGTGTATATTTTATCTTTATTGCTCATTATATATAAAACAAAGATAGAATGACGCTCGTGTGTACGCGAGTGCTGTTTCCGAACGTGACGTAAGTGTTGTACTGCACAACCCTCCCATGAAAGAGTATAAGAATTCAAATTGATTTTCGATATAAATGTGTCTTAATTAACCTAGTTGAGCTTAAAGGCACGTATTAAAAATACCTCTACAAAAAAAAAAAAGTATTGTAAGATATAGGGTGCGTTCATCACTTGTGATTAGGACTATTCTTCAAAATCTACAGCGGTTCCAAAAAAGTACGATCCAATCAGAAGTGATTATCAATCAACCGTTGTGCAACTGTTGAATTGTCTGAACGCGCACCCGTTGTACATGTAATTGTGTCGATATTGCAATATTACGATTAATCGATATAAGAATCGACTGTATTATTTGTAAGATGCGAAAGGCGGCGCTAATGAAGCGCGCCGACAAGCAGAAACTGAGCGGTTACCAGTGGTCTAGTTTCCACCGAAACCCTCAATTCGGTTTCACTCCGGTACTGATCAAATTTAGTGCTCTGTTTCCATTGGAAGTAGAGTACTTATAGATCGAAGCGGAAGTGAAATCAGCACAATTTGAAAGGTTTCCATCGACTTGAATTTGATTCTACGTCGCATTTGGTGTGAATTAGGGCGATGTCCCATTGAGCGGAAATATATAGCGGAACGGAATGTGCGGAACCGGCTCGACCAATCGTAACCACAAAAAAAGCGAAGGAAAGAAAACGGAATAACTATGATTGGTCGAGCTGATTCCGCACATTCCGTTCCGCTATAAATTTCCGCTCAATGGGACATTGCCCTTAAGGGTCTCCATTGTAGACGGCTCTTTACTACAGCATGCTAAATAGATGGAAGGGATGCGCGCAACAGCAACGAATTCTACCTGCATATAAACTCGCTGCTGTTGTGCGCATCCCTTCCACTGCTGTAACGAAGCTAAAACTGTGATGAACACTGGCGGTTACTCAAATCGCCAGAATCCGTTCTGCTCCCGAAGTGGTCAGCACGAGTTTGTGTCATCATCGCGACTCAACGGCTTATTCACACAAAAAATCCTGTAACGTTCGCGCGTTTAGGAGTCGTCGAGCCCGCTTGTTCTTGCTCCTTTTTCTAACGCGTTGTTGGTGTTAAAGGTATGTAAAACAATAAAGTAATTTATTAATAATCATTCTTTATTTCCCGCCGTTTCCTTGCCACGCACGTGGTCATC